CGGAGGAGATGAAGTGGAGAGAGAATGGAATAAAAGAATTAGTCAAGGAGGGGAGGGGGGACGAGGGGGGGGAGGAGGAGGGGGAGCTGGGAACGTTAGGGACAGACGGCGGAGAACCAGGAGAGAAGACACAGGACTATGGGTCAGACCAGGGTGAGGGTGGAGGGGGACGAGGAGGAGACAGGCTCCAGCAAAATAAAATGAAAGAAGACGAGGGAGGAGGAAAAATGAGGGGCGTGGATACAGACATGGACCGGAGAGAGTGCCGCTGCACAGACTACGCCGTCTCCTCTGGCCTGTTGGCGGCCATGATGATTCTGTCCAACCTGTACTTCCTGGTACCGGTGTTCATCTTGGGGCTGGTCTACAGCCTCATTGGACGGACTCTGTGGATCCGCCAACGGAGGAGCCGGAAGGACCAGACTCATCGACATACTATCAAGATGTTGGGTGAGTAGAGACGCACGAACAACAGACAGACAAAGAATCTGAGGTCCACTAAACGTCTTCTTGTCCTCTTGTCTCCTTCCACGTCCCCTTCAGGAGTCATCGTCTTGGCCTTTGTCCTCTGCTGGCTGCCCTTCCACGTTGGTCGGACCATATTCTCTCTGTCTCTGGGCACCAACACCGACAGACAGGAAACGTACGTGGATTCTAACCGACACCAGTACGTAGACGTCCAGTCTGACGGTCCTGCAGACTCAGACGCGCACGCACAGTCTGCAGTCAAACTTGAATACCCTCCTGTAGAGGGCGCTGGTGTGACGTGTGGCACCGACACACGGGGACAAATAAACAAATATGAATCGTCACAGAACGCTGAACCCAGACAGGAAGGTTCTGGACTCGCTGAGACGCCGTGGGACAGAAACACTACAAAATACAACAGCGACCTCTACAGCCAAACTCACAGCGATACACAACTGTATTTTTTGTACTACCTGTCCCAGTACTTCAACCTGGTGTCCTCCGTCCTCTACTACCTCAGCGCCGCCGTCAACCCGCTGCTGTACAACATGATGTCCACCAGGTACAGACACGCCGTGCACAGCCTCGTGCACGCTAACTGTAACACGCAGCCTCGCCGCGCACACACAACGGTCACCGCGCAAAACTCAACCACACCTGTGTAGCACAAACACACAGAGGAAGAGGAAGATGAAGACGAAGCACGAGTGGAACAGCTGGTTTTTGTTTCTTGCTTTTTTCTATCAAACAATTCAAATTTTTAATGTAATTAATCAGGATTAATCGTGATTAATAACATAATGGAATTAATACTATGGAAGGAAAAATATGGAAGCTATAACTCAAAGATGTATAGTACAAACACAGGTTTCATTCATTCAGAACTGCAATACTGTAATAAGCCGTACCTCACCACTAGAGGGCAGGACCGTCTGTTTTTGAAGTTCTAGTGAAGGGTGGTGAAAGTGTCTGAATTTACAACAGTCCTAATAAAAACAAAAAGTTTTCAGTTAGTTTAATTGACTTTTTGACTAGTTCGAGCCAATCCCACTATTCACCAGGAGAGGGCAGGGCTACAACCTGAATAATAATAATAATAATAATGTAAGAAGCAAAATGTGTTTAATTGACCTTTTATAAGGATAATGATGGTGTTTGTGCATAAACGTATCTGTCCTTTGACCTCGTTCATTTGTCATAAACTTATCTGTCCTTTGACCTCGTTCATTTGTTTTGAAAATTGGTACTTCTTGAATTTCCTCATTTCCTTCTTGTTATTCCCACTCATGCTGCTAATAGAGGGTTGGTCCTGACATCATCATCATCATCATCTTCATCATCATCATCACCCATACGGTCTCGACCCAACATAATCGATTTTTAACCAATTTAGCCCAAAATACATTACATCTGCCTACACCTTCACCACCACCAGATGGCACTGTGTCCCCAAAAGAGGAAGCGACAAATGCCTTTTTTGTTTCGTTTTTTTTTCTCAGTGTGAAGTTACTTCATATTTGTCTTCATCATTAAGTGAACCACAGATGTGACAGAGTTGATCTGAGTCTGAACACTGAGAATAAACACCGCTCTTTTTCATGTTGCTTGTCTTTGTGCTGCGTCTTAATCAACCACTTTAATATAAATGGATAAAAAGATAAACAATATAAAAGAATTTATCTTTCTGATTCAACTGGACTGACTAACACACACACACACACACACACACACACACACATTAACACCTTCCACCATTGTGTGAATTATCACAACAGAACTAAAAAAAAAATCAAATGTCAAACATGACAGAAGTGTCTTTGGAACATGATGTGAGACAGTGGGACACGTCTCACCGTCCTGTCAGAACATGAATGAGGACCAAAGTGCTGGTGGCGTCAGTTACACACTTATTGGAACGCGACATCATCCAGATGAGTGTTTTTCCAACGTGTCTTTAATGAGTTTTTTCTGGTGAGAAGAAGCTCCAGGCAGGAGAAAAAGAAACGCTGATAATTACAGCGCCGTTCATTTACACTCCGCCCCGTCATCGGCCCACAGACGTGATGCAGGAGTGGTGTGTATCTGTGTGTGTGTGTGTGAGACACACACACACACAGATACACACTCTGAGTACTTCAGTGTACTGCCTGGTATCATCTTTCTGTTTTACTGCAGTAATACTACACATCTGATCCTTGTCACAGGATCAGTGCCTGATCATAATCATGACACACACACACACACACACACACGGCCGACCTGTCTTACTGTCAGGCCCCTCAGCAGGCCGCAGCTCTCAGCAGCAAATGATAGAGGGCTCTAATTATGAAGCAGGAGGGGAGGGGGGCGGGGGGGGGAGGCAGGGGAGACATACACTCTAGTTTACTGCAGGTATTTATTACCTGGTGCAGCTGCAGCAGGAAGGATCCAAACCAGGACGTACGGAGAAACGACGGTGTGGAGTCGCTCAGAGCTCCTCAGGTGAGTGACAGCTGTGACGCAGGGGAGCGCCCCCTGCAGGCAGAGTCACACAGGCATCACCTGAATGTTAGTACAGTACAGTACAGTACAGTACGGTACAGTAGGGGGGTTCTCTTGCATTGTACCTGAGTAGTAGGTGGTGTCCCCCGTCCCCATCCTCAGTGTCTCTGCTCAGTGTCCACCTCCTGTGTCACATCTGCCCCCACCATGAACAGGAGGAGGAGGGGGGCAGGGGGAGGAGAGGGTGGGGTTACTGTCATACTGAAATATATTTCTTATATTCAGTAAAAATCAATATGAATACTAGTATTGACCTGGTACTTCATTCAAATACTTGTACCTCGTACTTCAGCTTTGCACCACAACAGACTTGGCTTTCTTCTTGACGAAGCTTCACTTGGTCCTCAGACCAGAAGAAGAACTCTGTGGTGGACCATGAACATCACTGTGGAGGTGATGGAAACAACAGCAGCCCATAATGTTCCTCCGTAATGAGTCTGCTGTAAAAAAAAAAAAAAACAGTTCCAAGAACCTAGTCCTAATCTAAGTCTAATCTTCCAGACCTGGACATAAAACTGAGAACCTGCTTCTATATCCAGCTCTGACATCATTTCCTGTTACATGATCTGTTCAGTCATCATGTATGTGACTGACTCTGATTCTGCGCTGTGAACCCTGCAGCAGCTCTGCCTCCTGTTGTCAGACAGCTGACATCACAGGGCTTTTCAAGACCAGGTGTCGGAATAAGAGAGAAAAAAAAACGACATTTATATCCATTTCTATTTAAATCCAGACTGAAACGTCCACTGTGTGTTTGAATCTTCTGTCTTTATATAACAAACTTATTTAACATTAGAGAAATTCCCAAAAAAGTACATGTAATGATGTAGAACGATTTACAAAAACTTACTGAGCTGTTTAGTTGAACACAACACTGACGTACACTCAGGAATTGAAGAAAGACACAAAGATCTTCTTCCACAGTTCTCGCCCTTGTTTTTCAGTTTTATAGACATCGGCTGCAGTAAATGTAGACTTTTTAAGGTCAGTTATTTGACCTAAGAACACCTGATGATCTCTCATGGCCACGGCCAATGAAACATCTTGATGACGACGACTATATGTTGCAGTTTCTCCTACAGATGACAAGGACTTCCTCCACAATAGGTCATGATTGTCAAAGGAAATTGATTGTAACCGGTAATTTGTCGGATGAGCGACTGATAAAGAGAGAGAAAAAAAAAAACTTCATCTGCTGCCGTTATAAAGAAGTGGAGACGTAAGTGAGTGATGACTGAACCAGAGAACCGATGGAAGGTCAGTTCCACAGAACTGGAATACCCGGTACTGATCAATGTCTGTGTGTCACTCAGACAAAAGACGTGATTTGTCATCACGTTCATCAATAACGTAAATGACGTAAATGGTCCTGTTCTACTGAAACAGGACCAACAACAGACTCTCAGAGGAATGATCTGATTTAAAAATTGAATCCAGACATGTTGGGGACAGTGACCTCTGTAGGATGAAACGTTTAAAGACGTCGAGGGATTTTATGGCCACTTTGACACAAAGTTCATTTATAAAGAAAAACAACAACAACATTTCCAGGTGAAATCATCGTAAAACTCTGAAAACTCCGATCTGTTGTAAGACTTACCTGTGACGTGAAGGTCTCCGGTGCTCGGCACTGCCACCTGCAGGGCGCAATTTCAACTTTCAGGTTCAGCCAAACACATCGGTGCCACCTGAAAATAAAGTTAAAAAAAATCTCGTCATTTCTGAGTGTTTTTTTTTTCTTATGAATCTAGTTCAGAAAATGCGATCGTTTCTCAGAAGGCGAACAGGAAAAAAAAAAGATCTGTTTGTCTGGAGAAACGCAGAAAAGCTAATGATTTCTGTCCAACAGCTAATTGGATCCTCGTTATGGGCCGTTGCTGCAGCGACGAGTAAGAACTGCATTCATCACGTTCGTGTCCACGATCGCCACCTGCAGTGTCATTCAAACAGAGCAGTGGAAAATCCAACAGTACCAGGAGCAGGTGACACGGTGACACAGACCAAAACTGTGGTCTGGACCCGCTCTCCAAACAGACCGGGAATCGAACATGTGGCGGATGAATTTAAAGACATATGTTTTGTTGATTCTATATTTTACGACCAATATTGGTTTGTTTTTTAAATCATATTTTATCGCTCAGGGCTGTCGTAACTATTTTCCTGGAACCTCCTCACCGGGGAGCGGATTCCGGTCAGAGAATAATCCTGACACAGACGACGTTTAACTTCTTTAACGAACTTTTAGGAGACATGTTACAAAACCAGAACTCTCCTCAGTGAGGACCTCTCTACGAACCTCAGACGAGACGCCTGATTAAAATTCACCAGTTCAGTATCAACAGTATTTAACGATTAATTAACAATACTTTAACAACACTAGCAATAATAATAAAATCAATGGGGATTTATAACAGTTGGAGTTATTGTTTTTCACAGTTAATGAAAATAAAGCGTGTCTTTGTTACATGACACTTGTCAACAGTTCTTTAGACTCCTGTTATTATTAACCTGCTTTTATGAACCTGTTTTATTCCGTGTGTGTGTTTTTACTGTGGATCTTAAATTTCCCACACGTGAGTGAGACAGAAACACCACGTAGATCCCGTGGAGGCAGCAGCTCTGACGGTGAGGCAGACGTTTATTGTGATTTCATCTTCAGATTCTTCATCTCAACGGAACCTTCTGGTTGAATAAACTCAGACAGATGGTTATTGTTCTAACGTTACAGCTGGTGAACAAACAGAGGAATGTGTTACGTCAGTTCACGCCGTGTCCCAGATCAGATCTTACTCTCCAGAGAAGGTGGATTTTTACTGTAACAATAAATCTGAGAAAGACAAGAGAGAAACAAACAAAACTCTGGACTTGGAGATTTATTCATTTTAATACCGTAGGCTGGGCACAAGAGGGAGGGGCTAGCGTGGGACTGAGGTCAGGTTAGATGGGTGAGGGAGGGGAGGGAGGGAGGGAGAGAAGATGCTTTAAAAAGAGTGAACAGAAACCGAGGTTCGGGAATAAAACGGCGCAGAACTCACTTTGATTTGGTTCGAGTTTTCATCACTAAGAGTTCGAATCCTTCAGAACCACTCTGACCCGAGGCGACGATGGAGGCTCTGAAGTTCGCCGTGCTGCTGCTGGTGTTCGTGTTCGTGCAGGTTTTCGGGGCACTGGGGAACCCGCTGTCCAGGCAGGAGGAGGACGGAGAGACGTGGGGCTTGGACAACTGGCAGGTAGGAAACGAGATCGGCAAAAGTTTGAAAATTTCTATAATTTCTATAAATCGATTTTTTTTCCAAATGAGCAAATAATAAATATAAAAGAAAAACGTTAAAACATTGCGTTGAGACTTCGTCATAAACGAACAGAACTTGACCCAAAACAAGACTGAAGGAATTTTAGACAAGTCTCCAGACACGACTAACGTGGATTCCTGAGGCTTTAGGTGTTTCTGTCTTTACCTGTTTGACACACCACCACCACCACCACCACCACCTCTCCCTCGGACCATCGGGACTCTTGTTCCGGTCCAGTTTCAGGAGGTTCGTGTTAGTTTTCCTCTGGGTTTGTCGTTTCAGCACCACGGACAGCTCCACAGACTCTGACCTGAGCTCCGTACATCGAAACGCTTCTGAACAGAGAGAAAACGTCTTTGTTTAAATACAGTTAACCAATTCGGGATTTTTTTGTTGTCAGTTTTTTTCAAATTAAAACGTTTCTGGCCATGAATTAATTTTTTGTTCAGAAAAAAAAACCAATAAATTGTTGTTTGAATATTTTTTTCTTTTTTCTAATCTAACCTCTGGGGATTTATCCGTGCTCTGCTGTTGTGAACAGAAAATCTGAGCAGTTCCAGCTTGTACATAGACAGAAGGTACAAATACATATATACATACATATATATTTACATATATATATTTCTGACAGGTATTTGGTGCATTTTTGGCTGTAATCAAATGTTTTCTCAGTATAATTTGTTTGTTTTTCAGTTCGATCGTTTTTCATCTGTTGTTTTTTCTGATTGTACAGAATCAATAATCAATAATCAATAATCTCTCACCTTAACAAAATTTAAAAGACATTTTAACAAATCTAAATGTGTAACAACAAGTGACTAACAAGGTCAGAGACACGTGGAGAGTTAATCACGGACTTCAATAACTAGACACTAACTAATGATGCACCCAGACACACCCCCCCCCCACTGATTAATAAGAGCATATTACAGCTGTGTGTGTGTGTGTGTGCAGGAATACCCAGAGGAGGGAGCTCTAAGCAATCGTCTGGCGGAACTCATCAAACGGTCAAAATCGCACCAGTTCCACGGCCTGATGGGAAGAAGCTTAGGTAAAAACAAACAGGACTGAGTGGGAATCGAACCTTTTATTGATCACACTGTGGGGATATTATTATTATTATTATTATTATGGTATTTTATGACGCTCTTTCTATTCTGAGGAATGTTGATTTTTAATCTCCCGGTTTTTCTAATCGCTGCCTAATTCTCTGCTCTGTACTTCAGGTTCCTATGAGCCCGTGAGGGCGGGGGGGAAACGTGAGTATGGTTAGAACTCTGTGGGTTTTTTTAATGTTCTTTTGTTCTGTGTCTGCCTTTAGATAAACACCTGATATTCATTTTCACTCTGATTCTCTGCATCCTCACCAGGAAACAAAGGAGCGATGTTTGTTGGCCTCATGGGCAGAAGAAATCTGAGTGGAGGTAACGCTAAGATCTACAGATGTCGTACGCAAATCTGGGGATGTAACGATGCATCGCACATCGGTTAAAAATCGATACAAATGCGTGACATTTCGCATCAGTTCAAAAGAATCAATCACCATCAAGGTGTAAAGAGAATGGTCGGACCATGACACTACACACTTCAGTACAGTAGGTGGCGGTAAGCGCCTAGAAACGTTGGTTGTGACCCACTGTTAAACCCAGACGTCAGGTCCCTCTGTAGGCTGAGAGACGTTCAGGTGTCAGAACAGAACGTGGGAAGAACGTGTTCCACAGACACCAACAGTGTTCTCCAGTGGAACTGTAAAAAAAGGAACTCTTTCCACTTTCTGTTTTTGATCTTCTTTTGTTGTTGTTTTTTTCTTATTATTATTAATTAAGATACAATAGTTGGTAATGATATTTTGCACAGTTCTTACAAAAACAGGATCATTGTTTTTCATTTGTTTGATTGTGGATCGTGTCGTTACATCCCTAGCGACAGCCAATAACAGCCTGATTTGCACTTGACTCCTCTGAGTCCAACCGTTTGTTCTTGTCTTGTCTCCGCCTCCAGATGTGGACGAGCAGTGGAACTCCGACTTTAATTAACGACAGAAATGGAAATAAAACGAACAAATGGCCGCAGCTGTAATTCCATCTCTGATTCAACTATAATGTCCAATAAAGTCCTATGTTGTTGATCAACTGGACGTGCAGTGGGGGGGGGGGGGGGGGGGGAACGCCTTTGATCACAACCAGTGTTGTCTGATGCAATTTACAGGAAGTAATAAAAGTTGCCGCAAACCCTGGAATAATCATCTTTCATTCAGCGCTGATCTAATGATCGATGTCGGCCTGGAAAGTTTAAAGGCATCGGCTGTTGTCATGTCCAATCATTAAAGCTGATTACATTAACAGTGTGTGTGTGTGTGTGTGTGTGTGTGTGTCAGTGAGCGGGGGTATTCAGTGTTCTTTTCTACCAGTCACCGACTCGTAGAAAAGAACACTGAGTGCTAACAAAACATCTGAGGCTGTGAAACCTGCACCAGCCCAGAGTTAGAAAAGTTAAGACTTTTGAAATAAGGAATCATTATTTCAAAGGCAGAGAAAAATGTGTTACACATTATAACTGGTTAAAGAAAGATTTAAAAAATAAAGCTGGTAACTCAGCTGTTGAAGACGACGGTAAACTGAAATCATGAAGTAAAAACAACGGGAAAATGAGAATAAGAACCAAATACCTGCAGTTAAAAAAGAAAAATAAAACAAATCAAAATATTGGTCATGAAGGACTGAAGCTGAGAGTTACATAAGAGAGACTGACTCAGCTCCGTGAAGTCAGAAGAGACCGCTCACACCTCTAAACACTTAGCAGCATCTGAAATTAGATTCTAAAATAAACAGAGAGTCAGTGAAGCCTCGGGGGGGGGGGGGGAGGGGGGGCAGAAGTTCTCACACGGCACCAGGCAGACGAACTCTGGTGGAGGGTTGTTTTTAGGTGTTGAGAAATTGCAAGTTTCAAGATGGTGACTAAACACGGCGGTGTTAATGTATTTGTCCATTCAGAGTACTACACAGTCTCTACTGCAGTATTTAACCGAGATCGATTTTTCTACGGCCTTAAAGTGACGGAGAAGAGGACGCGACGTGTGAACTGTGGAGTCGACACGTCAGTGTGTGTATCTGTTGTACAATGGTGGTTCAATCAATGTTATCAACCAGAGAACCATCCCCTCGCCGCCCCCCCCCCCCCCCCCCCCGCACACGCACCGCCCGGCTGGCGCTGTGACCATCCACGCCCCAGGTTTTGAGCCCCTGAGCACAGACCTCTGACGTCAGCGCTCCAGTCTCCACCAAACATCTAGGGAAGGAGAAACACTTTGACAATCCTGTCCTTTGTGTCTGAATGATCATTTCCTCCATTATCCACTCCACACTAATCAGCCAATCAAATCTGTGCATTCTGTAGACGAAGACATCAGAGCGTCGGTGACACACACTGTGGCGGAGAGAGCCAATGAGAAGTGGAGAAAAAAAAAAAGAAGTGGAGTTGATATTTTCACTGAACAAATGACATCATTCTTCACAGTTGAATCATTTTTAAATTAGACATCGCCCAGTGGCCCCTGAGAGGGCCGCACCCCACGGTTTGGGTTAGGAATACACTGGAATACATGCTTACGTATTCAGGAAACAATGAGGAGACGGTGGTGTGAGTTCTGATTGAATTACGACATAAACCTGGACACTACAGTTGAACACCCCGCCCCCCACACGCCCCCCCAACAGGAAGTCACATTCAACTCCACGTTAACACTGAAAAGGCTCCAGTGACATCACAGTGATGTCACTGGGTCATTTCTGAACCCCAGTGAAGCTTCTCCAGAAGATCCTTGTTCCAAGAATCTCCAGACCCGGCCCCCCCCAGGCCCTCCCCCCCCGACACGTCTCCACTTCAGTCCATCTCAGACCCTCCGTCCAAACTCATCAAATCTTTTCCGCAGCCACACGGCGACTTTATTCTCCTCGTCCTCGTCTTGATCAGCGTCCGTGACGACAGCTGACCGACCACACACACTCCTTCACACGCTCTCCGGCGCCGTTGCCACGGGAGACGGTGAACACACAAACAACACAGGAGGAAGAGATCACCATTTGTGTTTATTGAAGAGGGACTGATACGTGACGAGCAAGTACAAAAAACCCACAGCTGGACAACACAACGCTACCAGGACACTTTTGTCTGTGTGTGTGTCTGTGTGTGTGTGTGTGTGTGTGCGGCGAGGACGTGGAGGCACCGCCGCGGCGAGGAGGACGGTGATGACATACTTCTGGTTTCTCTAAGTGACCGTGACGACACTGAGCCACAGGACGACAGCAGGACCTGAACTGTCCAACACACTCCACCGGGACACACACACACACACACACACACACGTGTGTGTGTGTGTGTGTTTTGATTTAACCTTTTCCACTCAGGTATATATTTAATATGTGAATATTGTCTCTTTCAGACACATTTGTTTTACAAAACATAAAAAAAGAAACTGGCTGTATTTACTGAATGTCCACTGATGATGTCGTGTAAAAAAAAAAAGAAAAACTCTAATAAAAAGGAATATTACAAAATTAATAAAACATTTATATCAATGTTTCTAATTGTCTAATTCAGTTCGTCAGCTGTGGACTTACGTGGAGAGTAACTGTGCAAAAGTCTTCAGCAGGTGTATACATTTACTGCACCCCCCCACCCCCCCAAAAAAACTAAAAACATATACCCCCAAAACCAGGCATTGTGTGCGATTGAGCCCCATCTAGTGGTCACTCAACTCACTCAACTTTCTAGGAAACGTTCTCACACTCGTAATGCAGATTATTTTATAAATAATTTTGGCAATAGAACTTTAAAACAAATCCTACAGAGTACACCTTTAAGGCTGGAGCATCTTTAGAAAAAGTACATTTGTGGTTAAACCCGTGGTTCACCAACACTTCAGTAGCCAAACTCAACACGTTACTGTCCATACCAGCGGTGTGTATTGGCAGGAATCTGACGATACGATACGATATATCACAATATACTGCAATACACTGAAATACTGCAATATCTCAGTGTATTCGTATATTAATTTAGACCCCTAGTTGATACTGTTTTGATGAAAAGGCAAAAATGTGCTAAATCGTTCCCCAAATGTGCACAAACGCTGCAGGTTTGTTACAAACAAGTTGATGAGCAGAAACATAATGACAGTTCAAAGCTACAGGGGGCGGCAAAAACAAGACAAGGTTCACTGAAGCAGCACAAGAAATGTAGGAAACGTGAACACAAACGTTTAAAATGTTTTGGGGTTTTTTTTGTCGTTCAGTGTCTCGTCCTGTGGGGGCAGCAGAGGTGAAATGTTCTGTAGCTTTTTTAATCCACTAAAATAAATATTTTTTATTCACAAAGACATGGAGCAGGAATTCTCCGACTAGACTCGGTCCGTTCTAAGCAGCCGACGTCTCTTTTCTTTAGGAATATAAATTAGCATGTCTACAAAGCTAACGCTAAGTGTTAAACACAAAATAACAACCGTCCTAAAAGCTTGTCATACAGTGGTGGTACGTCAGAGGTAGAAGACAGTGAATCGTTTCCATGACAACGCAATTCTTTATAAGACGACGACCAGAGGAACAACAGGAAGTTTTTCTGATTCCAGAGAAATCAAATAACAACAGAAAAGTCTCTCACCTGGCTGGAGGCAGCTGTAACTTCCTGCTGTGTTAACTACCACTACATGCTGACAGTTGAGGCGGAGTCTCTGGGTTCAAACAGCCACTGTTTGGTCTCCATCTCTAGGTGTGTCAGTGAAAAAGGGTCAGTTAAAACTTTTTAGAATTGTTTTCATATAAAATAGAAAAAAAGACTGGGAACCTGTTTAAATATGAGTTTTTAACCTACATATTTTAAAACCTCAACAACAACAACATTCTAGACCAGTTCTAGAACTTGTTCTAAAAACATGAACATTTTCCAAAAAAAAATTGAATAAATATATTTAAATACAGATAAGGTGCATGTCACATATAGAAAATCTTTAAATTTCATGATTTTGTTAACATACTTACATGTAAAGTGGCTCTGTAATAATCTGGGGCTGCTTTTCTTACTGTTAAAAACACAGCCACTGGATTTATGTTTTGGTGTAAATTTTATATTTTCTTCGTCTGTGAGCTTTTTATTTTTTTCTGACTAATTCTGGCTGGTGACTGGTTGAACCCAGAGACCGGGCTGGACCCTACGTGGACCATGGGCTGAAGCGGAGATAGGCAGCGAGTGGAGGTGAGACAGTTTAGGCTCAGGGTCTGAGAACATGCCAGTGTGAAGAGAGAGTGTTTCTGTGTGACCGGGGTTCAGAGCCACACACACAGGAAGTCCGTCTACGTCCCTTTAGGTGGAGTCCATTTTAACGCCGTGGGATCAATGGACTTTCCAGTTCCACGTTTGGTTTCCTTGGCCTTCCAGTCATCGATGAGGTCCTGCAGGGAGGAGGGAGAAGACGTTAGGAACACGTTCAAGGTTTGTGTCAGTTTTTCATGTCTTTCTTGAAAGTGTTTCCCAGGACTTTTCCAGAACCTTTTTAGCTTCTTTTCTCCCTCCTACCTGTCTCTTTAGAACCAAGTGCTTTCCCTTCCAGTACTTGAGCATCTGGAGCGACTGCAGCGTGCTGACGATGTCCACGGGGTTGACCGCCGTCTCCTGACTGATCTCTGTCAACACAGGAGCCACAGGTCACTTCATGGCCGCAGGTCAGAGGTCACTCCAGGCCTGTTTACACACTCCCCAGCGTTTGACCAAACTACTGTGTGTGTGTGTTTTTAAGAACGTTTGGGAAACTTCTGTTTCTTTATTATTTTCCCAGGACGTTCCACTGGGATGAAACCGTCTTTGAAGGATGGCACCGAGGGCAAGAACCAAGGCAAAAGTAATAAGAAGTGATAAAAAGGCAGCATGAATAAAAGTAGACGACACACCGGGGGTTAGGGGGGGGGGGGGGTCCAGGTCCAGACAGAGAAAAGCCTGTGTTTGGACCGTGAGGAAAACAGACCATGAAATACTGCAGCTGTTAGAGACACAACACAGGAAAAAAAACAAACCACCACAGACTACGACACCTGCAGGCTGAAAGACGCTACAGCAGGAGAGAAGTGTGGAGTAGAGTCAGACAAATGAACCGTGACTTCCTGTTCTGTCTGGTCCTGAACTCACCTTTGATGGAAATCTCCTTGCCCTGAAAGTTGTTCAGGTATCGCAGCAGCACCTCCTTCCAGTAGCTGCGGTAACTGATGAGCCCCAGGTCGGACAGAGGTCGCTCAGGGGAGCCCACCTTCTCCTCCACCTTGGACAGTAGGTAACCTGGAAGAATGGACGGAGGAGGAGCGGGTGTGGACATTACAGCAGGAACGGAAATACACACAAGAAGAGTAAAAGGAAACAGTTGAAGAAGTAAAATAAACACACAAAAAAACAAATTAAAGAGAGAGTGAACAGCAGCAACAGAAAGAGACAGAAAGAAAAGAAGGAGGTTAGACAGAAGTATTGAGTTAAAGCAGTTTTCTCTGAGAATATATTTGAAAATAAAAAAACTGTACTCACTGAAGTCTATGAGCATCTTTCCGTAGCCCTGCCTCATGTACTGTGGCATGGTGAGGATACAGGAGACGTTATAGTTGAGGAAGGAGTTCTTCTCCTGCACACAGACAAATCAACCACAGGATTCTAACTTTTCATCAGGAAACACTGGAACAGAGGGATCTACATTTGGAATCACTAGAGAAGAAAGAAAAGAAAAAGAACATGAACCAACACCAGGAATATTGGACTGGGAATTGGAGAGAAAAAATCAATAACTGATGGAGGAGATTGATATTTTGATTTTCTCACAGCCCGACTGTACATTAACATCATCGTGTACTTCTCTGTACTTTCTGCTGTGTTACTTCATGAGGTGTATTTTTTTTCTCGGTGGTCTTGGTTCCTCAGTCCGCCCCCCCCCCCCAACATCACCTGTCACATCTTTAATTCTCTGTTCTGTCTGCACTCCAACAGTCTTATTGGAGTCAATAAGTTCTCTGTGTTCCACTCTTCCTGCCTCCTGGGACGGGCCGGGTCGGAACATGTTCCTATTCTGTTGCTACTGTAGTTCCCTTGGGCTGAAAAAGAAATTGTTGTAATGTTCCCAACACTTCAGGGAGACCAGGCCGTAGACCAGGCCGTAGTCTATTTTACCTTTGAGAAGTACCCCACCAAGTGGCAGCCCGTGTTGTCGGCCTCGGTCATGACGTAGAACAGGAACGGTTCCACGTCGTAGTACAGGGTCTTGTGGTCCAGGAAGAGTTTGGCCAGCAGACACAGGTTCTGGCAGTAAATCTGTGAGGAAACAAACAGGACGGAGGTCGGAAACACTGCCCACATACTCCCACAAGGGGTCAGGACGGCGCCTCCTACCTTGTTCTTCTTTCCGTCCACCTCAAACACAGAGATGTTTCCTTTCCTGTAGATCTCGTCTCCTGGAGGATGCTTCCAAACACACTTGGCCTGAAACACAACAGGAGGGACTATAACGCCACCCACTGACAAAAATGTAAAAATCAAGTCTACACTGTGACTGGTCTTTGGCCAGTGGTTTCCGAGGTAGGGGGCGCGGCCCACAAAGAAAGAATTTAAAGTATTTTCTATGTGTGTTTTTTTTATTCACCATGTGCATATATAGAATGGTCTGGCTCTTCATGTACTTCAGGCAGAACTCGCACATGTACAGCCTTCCCAGACGAGCGTACTCCTCCGGGTACGGGGAGTGGTACCAGGTGTCCAGCTCGTAGCGACCGAAGGTGATTGTCTTTATCATGTTGCTGCCCTCTGACACCTGACCGGTCAGACGCAGCTTCTCCTGTAGGGACCGAGACCAAGACAGGAAGTGAGAAGGCAAACTACTAACGTTGCTCAGAATAAACTTTTTCTCGACGTTTGCTCTAAATGCTTGAACAAAAAAAAAGTATATATAAAAGAAAATATATATAAAGAGTTTCTCGACATTTGCTCTAAATGCTTGAACAAAAAAATATATATATATAAAAGAAAATATATATAAAGACATATATACATATTTATAATTGTATGTATGTGAAAAAGGTTAACAGCCATTTTTCTGAAGTTGTCTGCGTGGTCTGAATGATGCTGGCTGCAGCTCTGGGTTCTTTCGAGAAGATGAGTTAAAAATAAAAGTGGAGGAGAAAAAGGTGGAGGAGACGGTGATGATAACGACAATGAAATTTCTCTCTTACAAGGTCGTCCGATGCACGTGCCTGCGCTTTCCTGAACAGCTCCAGGTCGTAGTCACTGGTGATGTTCTCCAGCAGCGGCTCCCGGCTCGTCCCGTGGCTGTGGCGGTGTTCCTGGACGTGTGAGGACACATTTGAACACAAAGTGTGAAAATGCACTCCTTTAAAGATGACAGGTTGACTTGTATTCTCACACACAGACCATGTATTTGTCCTTCTGCTCCTTATTCAGCCCAGAGTTCCTCTTCCTCCTCAGCTCCGTCACCTTCTCCTTGTAGCGCAGCTGACGCTCGGTTGGAGCCTGTGATGAAACACAGACACAAACATTTCAAAGAGGAATTTGACCTCTTTGTCTTCTATGGAGAGTCAACGTCTGTGCGTGTGTAAACTGAACTGTTCCAGGATCAGATCTAATGGAGGATCCGCTACTTTGTGAAATCTGAACAGCCTGAACAGGCTTTGGTCATTGTGAATCACGGTGAGGAGGGGTCCCTGGTGGGGGCCGTGTCTAACCTGGTTCCTTGTGGAATGTCTGTTCTCGTCCTGGCGGTGCGACAGCGTCCTCTCCTCTGACTGTTTCTCACGTGTCGATGCCTTGCCCTGACAACGAGAATCAACGCTGTTAAAAAAGAACTGAAAACCTCTCAGTCGCTGTCCCTCTGTTTCTGAGGACGGAGACCCTGGAGGTTCTGGTTCTATAGAAACAGAATCACTGTGTGTTTTACCTTGCATTCATCAGCCGACAAGTTGTGGTAGAGAGGACATCCTGATATGGAGAAATGTCTCTCATGTCTCCCTGTCAGATGACCTGAGTGGACAAAAAACCCAGGAAGACGTTTAGAGACAGAGACGGACGGACGGACGGTCAGGTCGGGGTGTGAAGGAACACAGAGATGTTCTCCCTCACCCAGTGAGTTGCACCCAGGTGTGGGACACTTCATGTTGAAGTTGTAGCTCTCGTGAAAGCGCCGCCTCTTGGGCCGGTGGGACAGGTCACAGGCCGCGGCCTCTTTGAGGGACAGCTCTTTGGCCAGTCTCTCGTCCTCCTCCTGGGAGACGATGACGTCGTTGCTGGAAGACACCAGGTCGTTACCGGGGCTGGAAACCTCAATGTCAGACTCTGAGGAGGGGGCGTTGCCTGTTGGAGTGCGGGGCGGGGTCTCATCCCGGTCCTCCCCCTGCTTCAGATCTAATGAGCCAATCAGGACAGGGAATACAGTCACCTTAAAACATTAGAGCCTGTCAATCACCTCTGTCGTGAGTTCATCTCAGTCATGTGACTCTGCAGCGCTCACCATTCGCCTCAGTATCGGAGCCTGACGACCTACTCTGGCGCAGGGAGTATCTTTTGGCTGTGGCGTTGGTCACCCCCTGTTGGCTGCGTGTGATTCTGCGTCCAGAAGTGAAGACTGAAGCTGCCACTGATGCTGCTGCAGAATCAGGAACTTCATCAGGAGCCACAGCCGAGGGAGAACTGCTGTGGGCTGGAGTACAGCTGTCTATGGTAGACACAGGACGGGGGGGGGGGGTTATGATTTTAAATCGTCAGCCGTGCCGTCAGTTTCTCCACAGAGGAACAGTGTCAGCCTCTGTCCTGGTGGATTCCCTCTGACGCAGTACAAGGGGGGGTGAGACAGGGGGGTGTTTGTGTGTCAGTGTGGGGGAGGGGGGGGTCAGGCTGTCTGAACCCATTCATGCTTTATCACTGGCCGTACATATAATGTGTAGTGCTGAAGCTGTTGAAGTTCAGAGTCTGTGTGGACCCCCCCACCCCCACCCCCACAGCAGTGACTCACTTTAACCCAACTATGCACCGTAACGGCTGAACAACAACAACTGAACACAGACAAAATGTCTAGGCATAAAAACCAAGAGGTCGCCACAGGTCAAGACTGTTGTGTAATAAATAGGTTTGATTATAGGGACAGCAGGAAAGTGGAACTTCTTCCTCCTGGAGTTTAGAGCAGTATAAAAGGTGAGAGTCAGGAGCCACAGAGAGGTCTCCTGAATAAACAGGAGCCGCGGTAATGGTAAAATAAACGGCTG